TCTCTAACAGACCCTTTATTAGCCCTATTCAACTCGGCCCTAAAAGGTGGAATCCTATCACCATCCTGGTCAGACTCCTCAATTACAGTCATTCCCAAGAAGAACAAAAACACAACAAATCCAGCATCTTATCGCCCCATTGCTCTGATTAACAATGATGCTAAGCTTTTTTCAACAATTTTGGCAAACTGTCTTAAGAATGTGGCTCCTGATATCATCAACACCAACCAGACGGGGTTCATCCCGAACAGACAGATCACGGAAAATATATGACAGTCCCTGAATGTGATCTTACAAGGCAGGTGCTCCAAGGAAGAATTTCTGATTCTGACCTTAGATTTTGAGAAGGCCTTCGATTCTATCGAAATTTCATACTTATTAACACTGCTTCAGTGCATGGGGTTTGGTGCAAACTTCTTAATGGCCTTAAGAGCAATCTACCAAAATCCTCGATCCAGGGTGAGGGTCAACAATGTAAATTTGGCTTTCTTTTCTCCCACAAGAGGAACAAGGCAAGGATGCCCGCTCTCGCCACTTATATTTGCTTTCGCTATAGAGCCCCTGGCGGGTATGCCGACAACATGGCTTTATACGTCTCTGATCCATCATCATCTTTGCCATTCATCGCTGATATCACCTCCAGGTAACCTAATAAAAATGCTTCAGAATTATCACACTCCAAGCTGGTGCTACATTGAGCAAGCTTATGTACGTCCCTTCTCACTTCCAGACACGATATGGATGCCTAAAGCCAATCTACCTAAGACCATAGTTGATAACGCATTCTTAAACGCCACTTTAAGAATTTGGGATATGCACAGAAAAGTACTGGAACCGAAGGTATCTCCCGTGTCCACTTTCACCAACCAACCTTAGTTTACTTCAGGATGTGAACCTGATGCCTTTGAACAACGGACGAACGCTGGACTCCGCAGACTACAAGATCTCACCCCAAAAGGACACCTCCACCCAAAATCTCATTTTGAAGAAATATTTCAATCTAAAATCTCCTGGCTAAAACTATGTGTGTGTAATTAAAAATGCTGTATGTTGTCTTCCCTATCCCCCACGAATATTGTTAGTCCAATTGTCAAAGAGTAACTGTAAATCGCTCTGAGCCCGCAGGTGTGTGGGAAAGAGCGATCAATAAATCGAAAGGATTATTATTATTATTATTATTATTATTATAACAATAACAATAACAACAATAACAACAACAACAACAATAATAATAATAATAATATCAACTCAAAAGTCTGATTGATTGGGCAAAGGAACAGGGATAATTTTCCAGACCTAAAACAGTATTCGAACACATCCTAGGAGAAACACCTGACAAAACGAAAGGTGTCTTATCACATATCTACAAATCTAATAATAATAATAATAATATCAACTCAAAAGTCTGATTGATTGGGCAAAGGAACAGGGATAATTTTCCAGACCTAAAACAGTATTCGAACACATCCTAGGAGAAACACCTGACAAAACGAAAGGTGTCTTATCACATATCTACAAATCTTTGCTGGAAAATGAAAATGAAAAATCTATGTCTAACAAGACCGCTTGGAATAAGGACCTTCGAAGACAACTATCTACCCAACAATGGACAAAGATATGGAACTCACATGCTGGCAAATCTAGAATATTTTCCATAAGGCTACAATTTTTTAAACTCCAAACGAGATGGTACCTCTCCCCGGAGAGATTACGACATGCATCCCACCTACAATCATCTCTGCTGGAAAGGATGCGGGGCGGTCAGTAATTTTTTCCACTGTTGGTGGGAGTGTCCGATAATACAGTCTTTCTGGAGACAAGTGATAGAGGAAATCACCGCAATCACTTCTCAAAAACTCCCTCTAGACCCAACAGTAATCTTATTACAGCTAGTAGACGGAGAATCTCTGATCATGAACATCTCAACTCTTACTTCTATCCTATTGGCCACCGCAAGATTAACCGTGGCGGCTGTATGGAAAGCCCCAGACCCACCAGACATCAGAACATGGAGACAAAAGTGCTGGGACCATTTTGTGATGGATAATATTGCGGAAACATACACTGATAGGTCACGCAAACCCTTAACCATACACACTACTTTCATCACAACATGGTCTTCATTCATTCAATACATGGTAGAACATGACATAATCCCTCATAATCCTCACTACATAGAATGGCTGCATTTTTAAACTCTTTCTGTTATTAGTCTGTAATTACAACACAATAAAAGCATAAATACAATAAAATTCATATAAACTACATAAAATACTAACATGGAGAATACAGTGGATGGCGGCATTCATTAAACAATCCCTTAAATGAAAGGTGGTATCCAACAGTATATCATAGGGCCATGATGTATTCCAGTGGCTCATTTATCAGTGGCAGCTCCTAATCAAAAGCCTGGTGGAAGAGCTCCATTTTGCAGGCCCTGCAGAACTATAAAAGGTACCACAGGGCCCTGATGTTCTCTGGGAGCTCGTTCCACCAGTATGGAGCCACCACTGAAAAGGCCCTGGCTCTAGTAATGGTCAACCTGGCATCTTTCAGGCCAGGGAGAGTCAGGCGTTGTTGCGACCCTGACCTCAGTGCTCTCTGGGGCATGTATGGGGAAATCTGGGGCATGTATGGGGAAAGGTGGTCTCTCAGGTAGGCAGGTCACAGACTATATAGGGCTTTAAAGGTCAAAACCAGCACCTTGAAACGAATCTGGTTAGCTATTGGCAGCCAGTGCAATGCCTTCTGTACAGGCTGGATGTGGTCCCATATTGAGAGACCCATCAACAGCCTGGCCACTGCATTTTCCACTAGCTGCAGCTTCCGAATTTGAGACAAGGGCAGCCGCATGTAGAGAGCATTGCAGTAGTCTAATCTTGAGGTGACCACAGCATGAATCACTGTTGCCAGGTCACTGCGTTCGAGGAAGGGAACCAGCTGCCTAATCAGCCATAGATGGTAAAAGGCTGCCTTGGCAGTGGCTGCTACCTGGGCCTCCATTGTTAAGGTGGCATCCAGGAGCACACCCAAGCTCCTAACCTTTGGCACTGGCACCAATGGCGTCCCATCGAAGGCCAGTAGTGGGATCCCTACCCCCGGACTGCTCCGACTCAAGCACAGGACGTCCATCTTTGTTGGATTCAATTTCAATCGACTCAGTATAAGCCAGCCCGCCACGTCCTGAAGCACCCCCTCCAGGTCACCTGGGGTAGAGTCGGACTGACTGCCCAACAACAGATATAGCTGGGTGTCATCAGCGTATTTATGACACCCTAGCCTATGCCTCCGGGCAATCTGGGCGAGGGGGCACATGTAGATGTTAAATAACACCGGGGACAGCACCGCCTCTTAAGGGACCCCGCAGACCAGTGGGTACCTCTGGGAAGTCTGTTCCCCTAACACCACCCTCTGTCCCTGACCTTGGAGGAAGGAAACGAGCCATTGCAAGGCAAGCCCCTGGATCCCAGTATCGGCGAGGCGGTGGATCAGTAACTGATGGTGAACTTGTTTTGATTTTGCTGTCCAGAATTCAGTTACTATGAGACACTACCAATAAATATTGCTTTTCAAAAAGCCCACAGGAGCTATAATTCACTGTGCTGTGTGAATTTCTGAACATTCACAGGCTCTTGTTCATATTACCACTTTTATAACTAGAATGCTAGTATTAAAATGCTGACTTTACATACATATATTACATTAAGAGCCTTCATTCTGAAGCAAGCTGCATCTATTTCTGAAGAATTTGCTTCTACTGATTTTAAAAACAAAGCCAAATTAAAGACATGTTTCCTTCTATAACTGATGGGTTGATCAGGCAAGTGTCTTGCTAAGTATAGCAGTAATGGCACTGTCAATTATTGAATTCCTAGGGCAACAATTCTTAGGATTTATACAGAGCCTGTGCCCATCCCTTAAATGCCCTGGCCTGGATCCAAACAGCTTGTTAGTCTCACACGTGGCTTGCTCTAGCCTAGGGGAATTCAGAACTTTTAATTCAGACAATTGGCCCTGTTGTTGTTGTTCAGTCTCACAGTCGAGTCCGACTCTGAAACTTTCTGTGGGGTCAAAAGCAGTTTGCTGTTTGGCAGTGAAGTCCAAAGGCTGCTTGGGATTACAGAGTTAGTTTCACAGTTCTGCAGATCTTGGCCACTGGAACTAATAACCTTTTTTAGAAAATACCACATTTTGCATCTTTATTTAATACACACTGTACTATACATTTGGCTGTTGTTATTAAGCAGGCTAATCAAAAGGCATCTGAGACACACTGTATATCAAAATATTGAATTCTTAGACTTCATTTTGTAATTCTTCAGTTATTTCAAAGGACATACCTAGCATTCAGACCTTGATAAAGGCTTTGATAACATTAAAGTACAAGGGAACACAAACTTTCAAACAGATCTTTTTAAAAGTCAGAATTCACACATTAAAATCCATGAATGAGAAACTTAGGTCACTTGTTTTACAACAGAACATTTGCAAAAGAAAAACTGCCGCAGAAGTAAGAACCTGCTTTGATTTGAAAATGTAACTATGAAACATGATAAAGAAAATATATTGGCTTGAATCCAAGGATCCTGCCAGGCAAGTGAATTGTACTTCCACTCACATATGGAGAGACTGAAGACTTCCCCACCTCACCTGCAGCCTCCAAAAAGATACGGACACTGTTGGGGAGGGAACAAATGTCTTCCACTCATCAAACAGGTTCCGGATCTAAGCCCTTATTGGTAGATGGTGCAAAAAAAACCCCAACCCAGCAAAAAAGACTGCAAACTGTGACCCATGCAATATTTATATGGCATCCAAGAATGTGCAAGCAAACAGTGGAAATCATAGTGCTGTCCAAAGCGGGGGTAAACTTATGACTTTATGAGTACCTTGAAGAAAGCAGGTAGATTCGATAGCTCCCAGAGACCATTCCTTATAATCAGTTTAAAAAGATGATATGAACGGTATTAATGCATGCCGGTATGAAAACTTTCACTTACCTCAGTAATAAATCACTCAAAATCGTATCCCCTTACAATCAAAAGGCCTCTGGTGAACCTGAAAAATTAATCACACACAAAAAAGAGGCCTGTGAAGTTCCTTCAAAATGTATTTAGTATGCACATATAAAGACTTTGCAATCCTAGCTCCTGATGCAATGGGAGGTGGCTCCAACTTTCCTTGTTTCAGCTAACCACAACACAAGGATTAATTTAGAGAAACTACGGCTAGTCAGAAGAGCACATTCAACAAAACTTGCACAGAACACATTTCATCATTTAGTTAAACATGTGAGAGATGAATACTGCATTAACTAGACATCATAATTAGCAGGGCTTTTTTTGTAGAAAAAGCCCAGCAGGAACTCATTAGCATAATAGGCCACACTCAATAGCAGAAACTCATTAGCATATCAGGCCACAGCCCTGACAGCACAGCACATTAGCATATTAGGCCACACCCCCATGTTACCAGAAGTGTGCTCATCCAGCCACACCCACCTTTTGCTTCTTATTCTGTTTACCCTGTTTGTTGTCAAAACCCAGGGCCTTTTTTTGTAGCAGGAACCCCTTTGCATGTTAGGCCACACACCCCTAATGTAGCCAATCCTAATGCGTTTCTGCTGTTGGGTGTGGCCTATTATGCTAATGAGCTCCTGCTGGGCGTGGCCAACTTGGGAGCCAGCCGGAACTCCGTTCCTGTGCGTTCCTGCCCAAAAATAGCCCTGATTATTAGTATTTTAAGATTAAACCCTGCTTTGATGTTTTTATGTAGAACTGAACCTAGAATGTTCCTTTCACAATTCCCTCGAGGGAAGAATGAGATGTTTGAAAGAACTCCATTATAAACCTGAAGCCCAACTCAGGGGTAAAGCTTAAAATAATATCAAGCATTTGCTGTGAGAACTGTTGGGCCATTGATCATTCAGAATTTGGGTCCTGCAGATGCATTCCACTGAGCTTTCCTTCAGTGCAAGAAGCCTTTTCACATTTCAGTCACAGTCACAGTAGGAGTACTGGGACCATAAGTGTAACCAACAACGTTTTTTTTTCCCATTTATAGTCCACATTAAGAAACTGTAGCATTCCCCCAAAGGTCAATCCTAAACAATCTGACATAAAGTTACTTGCTTTTGCACAAAGATACAAGGAGGATAAAGAGGAAGCAGCCTGTACATAAAATGGACTGAGAAACCCTCTGTTGCAGAGCTGCTTTCTGTCAAATGTCTCCCTTCAGTATACAAAATGTGTACTGGATGCAAACCTAAGCCTCAAAAGATGCATAGGATTCCTAGAAGACTAGAAAGCAAACATGGGGTCACCTGAGGACAGTAGCTGGTTAGCGTACTCCAGCTTTTTAGTATTCTCATTACTATCAATGTAAATATACCCGGAACCGAGCACACTGTTGAAAGTATTAGGCATCTTACGTCTGTATGTATGCGTAATGCTCATACAAATAAAAGTTAAAAGATCAGTGGACTACCACCACTGCATTATAGCTCTTGTTCAGTGTTTATACAATCAGACACTTTATGTAAATATTATCACACTACTTGCAGCACACAGGAATTTCCTGCCTATTCAGTTGCTGCACCAGTAAAAAAGCAGTTATCCCACCCAACACTTTGAGAGCTTTTGCAGCTGAAAAGCAACTAACAAATAAATGTAATAAACAACGTGAAGGAGCAATATGGTCTTAAGACAACTAGGCCACAAGATTCCCCCTACACACTAAGGCAATGAGAGAGGGGGCTTCTCTATAAAGCACAGAAGTTCCCAGGAAGGATCAGATGTCCAGCTCATAGATAGGGCAAGACTCCAAGAGCAACACTCAGTTCAATAGGAAATCCTAATTTCTTATTCTTGTCATGGGACAAAAATGGACAGTCAACAACAGACTGAAAATCCCAGCAATACTGACACTTACTCATAGCCCATTATGAATATGCACAAGTTGACCCTGAATCAACACTCAGTATTGCAATAAAAATTACACTGTAAACTTCCGCCAGACTTCAGCAAACATGTAGAACTGAACTAGCCTCAACTAAAGCTCTATTTGAAGTCAACATTTAAAAAGATATCCTGGAGAGTGTCAAACTAAGGTGCAGCAGAGCTCTCTAAACTAACCATCCTATTAAAGAAAAAATTAGGAAATATATTCTGAATGAGACAAGAGAGTAAGAACAGCTGTAACTTCTTTTACATGAACACTAAAGGAGCTGCGGTGGCTCAAGTGGTTAAGACGCTGAACTGCAGGCTCTGGAAGGTCGGTAGTTCAGCAGTTCAAGACCCGAGTGTGCCGCATGACGGAGTGAGCTCCCGTCTCTAGTTCCAGCTCCTGCCCACCTAGCAGTTTGAAAGCAAGACACTGCAAGTAGATAAATAGGTACCACTTCAGTGGGAAGGTAACAGCGTTCCATGCACCTTGATGTTTAGTCATGCCGGCCACATGACCACGGAAAGGTCTTCGGACAGCGCTGGCTCTTCGGCTTTGAAACGGAAGCAACCCTAGAGTCGGATTCGACTGGCTTTCGAGCAAGGGAACCTTTACCTTTAAAGAACATGTACCAACAATTATTACAGCAATACTGTAACATAACTGCATAGCTGAACAAAGCCACAGTCCCGAAACCAATTATATCCCACAAAGCTTGATGGAACAATTCATGCATAAGATGGTTTAGAATGTTTCTGTTCAGTGCAGTACAATGTGTGTATGCTCATTTCCAATCACCCAAAACTTGGACAGTTTTATAACTACTATCCCCAGGAAAGATACCTTTTTGGCTGCCATGATTAGGTGGTTCCCCCCATCCCCAGGGATAAAAACTGTATATAATAAATAGAGCACATGTCCCAGAGAGCAGATATGAATCACAAATAAAGGTATGTCCTGAGTCCACTGCTGCTCAACATTATCCTCTGTAAAAGTCCAGTAGCACCTTAAAGACTAACAAAACTGTGGCAGGGCATGAACTTTCATGAGTCACTGATCACTTCTTCAGACACAGCTGGAATGTGAGTCCATCTGTCCTATATACTGGAAAGTGGAGAGATTTCAGATGACAAATCTGAATTAGCAGGCAAATGACATCAGGCATGAGTGGATTAGGTGTGATATGCAGAGGGGTACTAGGCATGGAGAAATCAGCATTGGTAATGAGGCAGGAAAACCTAGGTCTCAATTAAGTCCAGGTGGATGCGTTGTCTTGAGCTTCATTATTAGTTGCAATTCAGCAGTCTCTCTTTCTAATCTCCTTTTGAAATTCCTTTGTAAGAGAACTGCTACTCATTGGCCCCGGGCACACGGGCCAGATATCGCAGGGGGGAGGCGTGGCTAATTGCCCCGGCGCAGTTTGATCCGCGATTAAGGGATCAGACGCACCGGCGGCACAGCACGGGTCCTTCCCTCGGCGCCAGTGGGTAAACGAGGGACCGGAGGGGAATGCCACCCGCCGGCACGATCACACCACGGGCGTCTGGAGGCAGCCCGTGGCAAACATTTACTAGTACCTTGGAGGTACTAGTTTTTAAATCCGCATTGTCGGCGGTAAGCCATGGGTGCGCTCCACTTCCCAGAGGTTGGGGTGTGATCGCGCCCGGATAATCCGCCCACCTTCCATGCCTCTCCCGCAGCAACTCTGCCATGTGACTGGGGCCTTAGGTCAGCAACTGAACGTCCTGCTATATAAATGCTATATAAATGCTTAACATCACACATCTTGAAAAAAAAAACTATCACCAACATTGTTTCCAGAGGCAAGGCAGATTTGACCTTGGGCATGTTCATAGATTCAGGTGGGTCTGAAGCGACAGAACAAAATTTGAGTCCAGTGGCAGCTTTAAGACCAACAAAGTTTTATTCATGTTCAGTTTCCCCCCCATCCCTGAGCTCATCAATTCTTTGTAGAAAAATGCATCTCACAAGTTTAAAGAGGGATAAAAATATTTCAAATAAATCATATTCTATTTGGCCCCCTCCTCTCTCTCAAAATGCCTGCCCTATAAGAGCTCACAGGTGGGACCCTGGTGGGGCAGAGAGGATCTCCCTCTTCTCTATCAGAGCAGTCTTCCTTGGCGCTTGAAACGCAAAGGGGAAGGGATAGCCCTGCTGGAGCACAAGCGTGGAGGGCTTCAGGAGGGAATGGGATAAGCATATGAAGCAGAGGTCCATCAGTGGCCACTAGCCACGAGGTATTAGAGATGTAAAATTTCCGGAAATTTTGAAGCTCGGAAAAAAACGGAAATTTTTGGAAAAATTGAAAAAAATGCTACATTAGCATTTCTTAGGTCTTTTCTAGACTGAAAGTCATTCTGTTACTTTAAGAACATAAAATATGACTATGGACATTTTTACTTGGCATGAAATTATCACAATTAGCATATTAAAAATATAGTGTATCCAAACAATTATCACAAACAGAATACCCACCCACATGCAAAAACAAAACTGAAACTTTTCTATTTTCTTCTGACAATCGCACCCCCTAAAGGAAGAAATGCATCTTGTTCTTGCATTGGAGAGTTCAGTTTGTAACCTAGGATTTGCTTGTCCTCAGTGCACAGAAATTAGATCAATCTGATACCATATATATATAAAAGAAATTATTTGGAAAATATTTGAACATCTTGTCTTAAAATATTTTATTCATCATGTTAAAATAAAACGTTCCATAATCAATTCTTTTTCTTTTCTTTTTTCAATTTTTCGGAAAAAAATAAAAAGGCTTCAGGGGGAAAAACGGGAAAAAACCGTTTCCCCCCTGAATTTTTCCAGTTTTTTTCCGGGCATTCACATCTCTACGAGTGATAGGTGCTCGTGTGCAAGTGTTGATCTGGTTTCTTGGTGGTTCGGGGGGGGGGTCGACAGTGGGAGGACTTCGAGTGTCCTGGCCCCACTGGTGGATCTCCTGATGGCACCTGGTGTGTGACAGAGTGTTGGACTGGACGGGGCCACTGACCGTATCCAACATTGGCTTCTCTTATGTTCTTATGTTAAATCCAGTGGCATCTTAAGGACTAGGAACATTTATTTCAACATGCTTCTAAGAGGCAACCAACTACGCTAAGCTCCCCCCCGGAGGTGGAGGCATTCCCAGGGGCACTTTAAAAACTAACAAAATCTATCTGAAATGCATATTTAAATAAATGCTGCTAGACCTCAAGCCGCCGCTGGCCTTGTGTAGCCACTTCGGGGGAGGAGCCTGGTGGGGGCTCTGCGCCTCGTGGAAGCCCCGCCCCCTGAGGACCCTGAGGGAATAGCCTGCCGTTGCCACTCAGACCAACCCAGAGACGCTGGACGCGCGGCGGGCGGGACCTTCTCCTCCTCCTCCTCGCCCACCGCCCCTATCCCATCTCAGCATAGCTCGTTGCCATCATCACTCGGGAACGGGGGGTGGGGGAGAGAACGAATCCTCGCAGATGACAAACGCACCGCCCGCGTCCGCGTCCTTCCCCGCGCGAACCCAAGTCCGCCCCTCACTCACCCTCTCTCGCCGCCGTTACCGCGGACATGTCCTCTCGCGAGGCTTGGCGGCGAGACTTTGTAGTAGCGGTGTGAGATTAGGTAGCATGAGGACGGAGAAGGGGCGGGGCGCGGGAGGGCGCGCGCGCCCTCCTCCCCTTACGGATTGGCGGGGGGGAAAGGTGCTGGCACGCGCGGATACCGAAGCCCTCCTGTTTGTGGGCGCGGCTGCGCGAGGGCGGCAAAGCGTCGCTCTGCTCTTCTCGCGTTGGGAGGCGGGGGAAGAGGAGGGCGCGTGCGGGCTCCCCTTCATCCGGGTGTTTTCCTCGGCCCTTTGTTTAAGGCGGGCCTAACAGAAGTGCGGTGGCTCAAGTGGTTAAGACGCTGAACTGCAGGCTGTGGAAGGTCGGTAGTTCAGCAGTTCGAGACCCGAGTGTGCCGCATGACGGAGTGAGCTCCCGTCTCTGGTTCCAGCTCCTGCCAACCTAGCAGCTCGAAAGCAAGACATTGCAAGTAGATAAATAGGGACCACTTCGGTGGGAAGGGAACAGCGTTCTGTGCGCCTTGGTGTTTAGTCATGCCGGCCACATGACCACGGAAACGTCTTCGGACAGCGCTGGCTCTTCGGCTTGGAAACGGAGATGAGCACCGCAACCCTAGAGTCAGAGCAAGGGAACCTTTACCTTTACTTAACAGAAGTTGAGAGGGGCGAATTGGGTGCTAGTCCTGTTAGTGGGACGAGGTCTATGCACGTGAGAGAGCGTGGGTGGGTGTCACTGTGGGCATATAAATATATATATACACATGCACGTAGTAGGAATTCCAGACGTTCGTCAGTACCAGCAGAACAAAACAGGCCTGGTGCACTGTTCCCTCTAAGCTGAGTTTGTGTGAGTTAGCTCACAGTTTTTTAGCCTCCGGCTCACACATTTTTGTCTTCGCTCAGGAAGGAGGGCTCCAGAGCAAACTAATTTATGCAGTAGCCAAATGGCTCGCTCACAACTTTAATGCCAGGAGCTCACAAAGTAGAATTTTTGCTCACAAGACTCCACAGCTTAGAGGGAACATTGGCTCTGGTGGCATCTTCAAGACTAAAACTGGGTCCTTTCCCACCTCAGTGGGTAAACCTTGAAACTCCCAACAAACTTTATTCTTTCATAAACTTTGGTGAGTCAGAATTTACTTCACCAGATGCAGTGCCAGAGCTCACTTAATCAGATGCATCGAGAGAGTACATCTGCAAGAGAGAGCTATCCTGCAGGTGTACACTCTTGATGCCTCTGGTTAAGTGAGCTCTGACTCACCAAAGCTTATTGTTCGCTTAAATTCAAAGTCCAGCTGGGGTTCTGTTTTATTCATGTAATAAACAGGAAACCTCTAAGTACCGTAGGATAGCCTGACCTAGATAGTCCAGGCTAGCTTAAACTCATCAGATCTTGGAAGCTAAGCAGGGTCCGCTCTTGGATTTGGATGGGAGACCTACAGGGAATACCAGGGCTGGGATGCCGAAGCTGGCAATGGCAAAGCACCTCTGAACACCTCTTGCCTTGAAAACGCTACAATGGCCCCAGTCACACGGCAAAGTTGCCGCGGGAGTCCTGCGGATTTTCCAGGCGCGATCTCACCCCAACATCTGGGAAGCGCAGTGCTCCCGTGGTGAACCCGTAGCTCCCCACCAAAGGTGCGGAGTTAAAAACTAGTACCTACGAGGAGCTGCGGTGGCTCAAGTGGTTAAGACGCTGAACTGCAGGCTGTGGAAGGTCAGTAGTTCAGCAGTTCGAGACCCGAGTGTGCCGCATAACGGAGTGAGCTCCCATCTCTAGTTCCAGCTCCTGCCAACCTAGCAGTTCGAAAGCAAGAAATTGCAAGTAGATAAATAGGGACCGCTTCGATGGGAAGGGAACAGTGTTCCGTGCATCTTGGTGTTTAGTTATGCCAGCCACATGACCACGGAAACGTCTTCGGACAGAGCTGGCTCTTCGGCTTTGAAACGGAGATGAGCACCGCAACCCTAGAGTCGGACTCAACTGGCTTTCGAGCAAGGGAACCTTTACCTACGAGGTACTAGTTTCCTAAAAACGCAGGCCAAGGGCGGGCGTCTGATCGCTTTTCTGGTGGATTTACATGGCATCCGGCGCCCGCCGCTGTTCGTCTCCGCAGGTTGCGCAACAGCGCCCAACAGCACATGCGCACAAAGAGCGATTGCTAGGGCGATCGGGCGGCACTGCTTCTGTGCCGCGCTGCAGGATACCCGTCTGATTGGCATTTCCCCCGAACCACGGAACCTCGACCAGGACGTATGCTCGGGCAGTCGCGCGTTAGTTTCCTCCGGGGCAATTAGCCACGCCTCCCCCCCCCCCCGTGATATCCGGCCCGTGTGACCGGGGCCATAGTTGGCATAAAAGTTGGCTGTGACTTTCTACAACATTGCAGGAGCAAAAGGAAAAGAGTACTTTCCACTTCATAAAAATAAGCTTCCCTTTCTGTTTCTGAGTTGTATATGCGTACATACATACATATTAGATTTCTATACCGCTCCTTTTTCCGTAGACTCGGAGCGGTTTACATAGTTTATACAATTATCTAACCTAGGGGCACATAGACAGGGGAAGTGAATTCCTTACCCAGGCACCCCCCTTATTTAGGCAGGATCTTTTTTTTCTTCTTCTTAGCTTTTTTCCCCCGGCAGATTCTTTTTTTAAAAAATAAGATGATGCTTGAGGATGCATGTACGCCGATCTATTGGTTTTTTACTCTGCCCTTTGCCTATGGAACACCAGGTGATGTGTGTTATCCGCACAACAGCCTTGTGAGATTGCATCTGGTGAAGTAAATTCTGACTCACCAAAGTTTATGAAAGAACAGCCTAGGCAAGGTCACCCAGTGAATTGGCCCAAACAAGCCCCCCATGAGCAATCTGTGGCATTCCTTCAAAATTCAACTGTGTACATGAAAAAAAAAGATTGTTCACACCAGCAGTAACTGACCATAGAACACACCAGCACCTGCACATCAGTTGTTTGTTAACAGCAGCTATCCTCAAGGAATCTGCCTCTTATCTTTTTAAAGTAATTAAGCTAGTGATAATTACCCACACTTTGTAACAGAGACTTCAGATAGACTTTTTGTATCTATTGCCAGTCAACTTCATCAGGTGCCTCTGAGTGGTAGAGAGGAGAGGTTCTCTCTATACATTTTTGCCACTGGAAGCCTCTATTGTTCTCCGTTAATCAAACCCCCCACCAAAAAACCAAACATGAGAGTGTAAGAAGCGCACCTCTCAGACAAAGCAGAGAATTCCTAATGGAAAACTTTTATCATTAGCAATACTGACAAACTATGTACAGAGGTTTGAAAAAATGCTCAGCGGAAGGAGGCCAAATCAATTTAACATTCCTGTAAACAAAAGTCTTACAACTGATTCTCCTTTAAGTCCTGGACCATCGTCTTTCCCCAAAAATAAGCATAAGAAAACAATCTGACTTTATTGCACAACCAAACAGGCTTCTCAAAAGAAAGTTCCTTTCCAAGTTCCTGTTACCAAAAACAAAGTAAAAGGCACATTATTAGATGGGGTGTGTGTGTGTGTAAGTTTAGAATGGGGGAAAGTTACATGAATGTTTTCCCCTGCGATATCTAATTAGACTTGTAAAAATAAACTTAAAATGAGATGGTCAGATCAGCAATCCCATCTCCTGATCCTTGCCAAAGATTGCCTAGCTCTCCAGGCCGTGGTATCATTTTTTAACTTGCACACACACAAAAAATTAAGCACAATAGGACCAAGCACGTACAAAAGACAATCACTGCTGGTCTAGATGAAGCCTCCATCATTATGTACACCATTCTCCCCAACTGGTACCTGAACCAGCATACATTGCTCTCCTCAACTCCATTTTATCCTCACAACAACCCTGTGAGCTAGCTTAGGCAGAGAGTGTGTGACTGCCAGGCCCAAAGCCACTTAGCAATTTCACTACAAAGATACAGAAGGCATGCCCATACAGGAGTTTTCGTCTGGATCCTGCAAAGTGCAAGCAGATTACCATGGATGTAAATTCTCTTTACAATCCCTCTCCTCCAGCAGCCCATTTTTAACCTGTGAGAAACTAATGGCAGATATGCAGGGAGGTAAAGGTAAAGGTTCCCTTGCTCGAAAGCCAGTCGAATCCGACTCTAGGGTTGCGGTGCTCATCTCCGTTTCAAAGCCAAAGAGCCAGCGCTGCCCGAAGACATTTCCGTGGTCATGTGGCCGGCATGACTCAACACCAAGGCGCACGAAACGCTGTTACCTTCCCACCGAAGTGGTCCCTATTTCTCTACTTGCAATTTCTTGCTTTCAAACTGCTAGGTTGGCAGGAGCTGGAACTAGAGACGGGAGCTCACTCCGTTATGCGGCACACTCGGGTCTCGAACTGCTGAACTACTGACCTTCCACAGCCTGCAGTTCAGCGTCTTAACCACTTGAGCCACCGCAGCTCTGATATGCAGGGAACCCATGTAGAAAAGAAGGCATGCAATCCAGCTGGCTGCAATGAAGAAGGAAAGCAGGCAAAATTGGCCCACTCTGCCTCTTAGGCTGAACAGAGCTCACAAGACTCCACAGCTCCACAGGGAGCATTGCTGTAAAGAGTGATGTACTTTGGCAAGCGTGAAGTGGGAATCAGCCATAAATTCATCTCACATTGGGTTTCTGTATGTTTTCTTTGGTATGTTGTTCTGTGGTGGTGGGGGGTAACCATCTCTCTTTTGCACAATTTTATTCCCATGAGGAGTCCAGGGCAATTTGTATAGTTCTTTTATCCACCATTTCATCCTCATAACAACCTTGCAAAATAAGATAAGGCTGAAAGAGAATGACTAGCCCAAGGTCCCATGGCAGAGAGGGGGGGGGTTAGATTAGAACCTGGGTCTGCCCCCCATCCTACGGAATGGGTGATTTGGCCCTATGACTGCAATCATATGACTAGAAATTTACCTGGGAGTAAGCCCCTACTCCGGAGGATGGCGGAAGACAGGAGGGCCTGGCATGATGTGGTCCATGGGGTTGCTGCGACTGAACAACAACAGTAAGCCCCTA